ATTCATCCCCGATGAATCAGACCTGACTCAACTCTAAGCAGTAGCAGGCATGACAAACAAGCATGAATGAGTAGGCACATCAGGGCTCAAACAACTCCTACTCATGCTAGTGGGTTTCATCTATTTACTGTGGCAATGACAGGTCATGCAAAGGATAAAGGGTTCAGCTACCGCAGCAAGTATCAAATATGTCGTTGTTGTCCTAATGCAGTAAAAGAGAGCAGGAGCGAGAGAGTGGGATTTTATCGGAATGAACAAGGGGGTTTTGCTTGCCTGGCACTTCTGAAGATAACATTGAGTCTTCATCAGTGTCAACGATCACATCATCGGTATCACGTCTATCGAGAGGGGACAAATACCGGCAACACAGAAGGAAACACAATCAATGCAATGCACAATATGATGCATGATCATGACATGGCAAAATGAATGTGTTTGGGGCTAATGCATCTAGCAACAAGTTAAATGGGGTTGGTTTGAATACAAGATTCAAATTCAAACTCCATATGTGATTATTTAAATGCCCTTTAATTGATTTGTGCTAAACAGCAGCTATAAGTTGTCCTAACATGCATGAAAATGGTACAGATGGATTCCTTGAATTTTTCTGATAATTTTTCATATATAAATTTTTAATTTGGAGTTACGGTTGAATTTCTATGAATTTTAGAAGTTTTAGGCATTTTCTGAAATTTCCTGAATTATAATAAATCCAGAAAATACTTATTGCGTCAGCCCCACGTCACTGTGACGTCAGCAGAGTCAATTGGGCGCCCCAGGTCAAACCTGACCAGTGGGGTCCACTGGTCAGTGACACAGTGCTGCCCAGGGTCAATGACAGGTGGGTCCGGCCAATGACCACGTCAGCAAAGTCAACCTGACGCGTGGGGCCACTATGATTAACCTAAACTAACAGAAGTTTAAGCCGTGGTTAATTAAGGGCGTGGGGCCCAGCTGTCAGTGTCACAGGGGCTAATTAGCAGGGTCATTAGCCCCTAACGACGGCGCCACGTCAGCACGTCGGAGACCAGCCGATGGCGACCACAGAACACGGCGGGGGCACGCCGGACTTGCGCTAGGGCGTCGGATTGGCGCGCTGAGGGCACCAGGGCATAGCCCTCGCTCTTGCGCATCCAGAGAGCCAAATGGGAGGGGTTGGGGTGGTTCGAGCTCGCCGGGGTCGAGCTCGTGGCGGCGACCGGCGTTCGGGAGCAGCCGAGTATGGTGCTAGAGGGCATGGGAGGCGGAGCTACTGGTAGCTGCAGGTTCGTGGAGGCGCGCTGAGCACACTGGTGTACTCGGGTGGGAGCTCCAGTGGCTGCCGTGACGGCGGCGACGAGGTCAGCGGCGGCCGGAGTTCGGCCGCGACGGAGCTATGGCCTAGAGCTCGCAAACGCGAGGGGAAGGAGAGGGGTTCTGCACGTAGGCTCACAGCGAGGTCGATGAGCAGCTCGGTGGTCTCGGGGAGGCGTCGGAGGCGGCGAATCGACCGCGGCGATCGCCGGACAGATGCGGCGATGAAGGCGGCAGGGACGACGCTGCGGTGCACCCGGCGTCACGTGAGTTGGTGGAGACAAAGAGGAAGGCGCGGCGGTTCCTCTGGAAGCATCGCCGAGGCGAGGGGTGGACACTGGCCGCGGTGGAGCTCGTCGGTGCTCTCGGGTGCTCGTGGTCGATCGCGAGAGAGAGAGAGAGCAGAGGGGGATAGGGACGTAGGGAGAGATACGGGAGAGTGAGAGAGGTCGTGGGGGCCGCGTGGCGTCTCCAGGGAGTAGTGGAGGCAAGCAGGGAGGCAGGAGGTGGCCGAAGCAGGGAGGAGGTGGCCGGGGCGCGTGGCCGCGCGCGCCGGGCGCGTGCCCGTCCTCCTGGCAGAGGAGGAAGGTGACAGCGGGGTAGCGGTGGCGGGCTGGGCCGCTGGGGGAGCTGGGCCGGCTGGGCTGGACAGGTGAGCAACAGGTAGGTTTTCTGCTCTTTTTTATTTTTTTCTTCTGTTTTGTTTTATTTAATTTATTTTGCCACTGTTTTGAATTTAAAGTAATTCAAACAATGCCAAAAACTCCTCTAAATATTTTTATATGCTAGATGGACTTTTCCAAAAGCTTATAAAATATTTCAGGGGTATTTGAAATTATATTCTAATTATATGGATATAATTCAAATTCAAATAGTTAATGAATTAAATCCAAAGTCCCAAAAATAAATCCTTAAAAATGTTCAATATTTTGGTTGGGACCAGAACCCTTACCAAAATTATCAAACATTTAAGAAGAGCATTTTGGAACAATGAATGAGATTTTTAGGGTTTCTGCCCCTCTTTTATTTAAGTTTTTGAGGCTTCCAAAATTCCTCAGTTCAAATTTCAGAATTTAAACATGATGCACACACCAGGCAGCACCAGAAGCTAGGGATGTGACAACATCTTCACCTGGAAAAAAGAAAGCACCATCCACATTCAGTAAATCAGTATGCTTCTATTGCCCAGCCCTTTTTTCCTTCAGGAAAACTCAACATCTTCTCACCTTGTGGTAAGTCACTTCATCATTTAACCCGTTCCCCTCGCCTACATTTCATTAACCTTGTTTCATAATTTCAACAAGCACCAGAGAAGGGACACACAGTTGACTTTAGATCACATCTCTTCGCGGGTATTAGCATGGACCATCTCCTTTGCCTTACTACCAAGTACACACCTGAGATCTGATTTCTTTCAACTACTACAGCGTCACATCGGGAACAAACCAGTATATGACCATCCTCACACAGCTCTGTTCTTAAATTATGGTATAATATATCTCTACTATCCCTATGATTAAAATTCTGTAAGATTCTACACTAAGTGGCATCCCATCCAGGTTTTTCCTTTTTTGATTACGACTTTCTAGATAGAAATTTGCCAAGAAGTATGGTTCATAAGACCACTTTACTATCGTAAAAAATTATGCTAAGGGATAAGGATGCCCTCAGTATATATATAGATAGTGCTCATATGGAATAAAATTAGCTAAAGGATATGGCAGAAATTAACACGGTAATGTCAGAACGCTTTTTTAATAGACTAAGTTGGACATTTATGAAAATGACACAATAGCTTTTTGCTAAAAATCCTCTAATGATTTCTCAACATTATTAGTTACGCCCAGTCACGATAATCTGGAAACATAAGAACTCGTGTCATACAGATGCAGCTGTGACAATGGAATATATAGATAAAACAGTTGTGGCCCTGAAGAGTCTGACATAATATCTATGAATCATACATAAAAGTTAGCCAACTTCAGTTCTGATTCTAGTTAACTTGGTTCCCGACAGATGTTTTGAACAACTACTATAGCTTCACACTTGAATTGGGTACAATAAGTTTCAGAGTTCACACAAGGAGGCTGAAAGAAGCAGAGTTAACGTTCAGCTCTGCTTCAAATTCAGAGTTCAGACTACAAAATTTACATAGCGCTTACTGTTTACATGCATAAGTGGCTCATTCAAATTGTTTACATCCCAAGTGAAGATCCAACAAAATGTACAAATTGATTAAAGCGATGCTACATTGAAATCTACAGTACAAACTAGAAGGATTACTTAACTTGCAAAATTCAAAAAAGAGACATCATCAAGGCATACTTGTCACTGAAGCTTCAGGGCATCATCAACTAACAGAGCCTTCAAAATCATGTATAGAGCACAGCAAGCCATAGCCGCCATGTTTCATCTTGTTTCCTGGAAGAAGAAAGAAAAACACCATGTACATCCAGTTTCAGCACTTCTTCACCTGGAAGAAAGAAAGCCCTCTGCTTTTCAGCACCATACCAAAAGACTAACTTAATGTCACTATCACCAAATTCTAACCTGCAGGCACAAATTTGTCACAATACCCAATATTTTTAACAAGACAAGCTAAATCAGTCAGGTTAGCAATTGTAGGTTAGTTGCATACTACAAGCATGCATGTCAAACAGTACTATATATGCGTATTGTTAGTGCAGGCAGGAATTTGGCACAAATGTCATAGCTGCGAAAATATCATATGGTTCCTTGGTGTGAATGACATTGTTGGGTAACTGAGGAAGTACTGCTCGTGGCTCCTGTCCTACCTCTCGAGAATTATCTCAAAGATCTATGCAGAAATTGTCACGGCGGCAGAAGGCCACAGCTTCTGATGACTCCATAAAATTTTGTGTCTAGTTTCGGCTCCATCACACCAAAACAGTAGATACAAATGAAAAACTGAAAAAACCATGATGACACAACAAAACAGGGGACAAGGTTATCTTATGGCATTGTGTCACAAATTTGAGGAATATACGACTAATCTGGTTTCTTTATTTTAGCACAGAGGACTAAGAATAAGTCATTCGTTGCACACAAAGATTTACAAAAACAATTCAAACAAGAAGAAACAGTTTATGCTAAAGCAAGGTGAATTAACCCTGGGCCCTACATAAGAAACGCTAACACCAGGGGATAGCATTCCCTCCATCTGCTTCCAAAAGGACTATTTACCTAGATTTGGGAAGGGCATCAGATTTATCCTCAAATTATCCACTATGAATTGCAAAAACAGTAATAGAAGATTAGGAATGCATTACCCACAATGAAGGAGACCTTACCTTGGCTCATTATCTCAATGCACAGGCAACTAACTTAAAAACTGAAATTTTAGTGCATTACAGAATGGCCTGATCTCACACTTACTTAGCTCCAATACATGTGTATAAAACATGAATGAGGATGAAAAAGTTCATAACCAATCCATGGTTTCTTCTCTGATGAGTGGTGACATTACATATCAGTATCCAGGGATCAAATTATCAGCTTCATCACTCATTACCAACCACCAACCCAGCATCTAACAGACATACAGCAGCGGACAACCAGCACACAGTTACATCAGAGCACGTCCTTGGCTTATGTGAATCTGAAATTAGTGGGCACTTCCCCTTTGCAAGCAGCATCGTAGTCTTTTTCAAGGTGTGGTACAGCTTCCTTATGAGGGTGTATGAACTTCTTCTTGAATGTCATGTCGGACTCCTTAAAAACAGTATAGTAGTTTGGGTCACACTTGAGCAATCCATTTTCCTTAAGAAACTTTACAATGTAGTACCGGGGCCTGAGCCGGCCCTCTAGACTATAAGTGAGCAATGCTGGACGATAAGCAATGTATGCTGGTTCCAATCCCAACTCGGAGATAAGGAACTCGGACCTGCGCTGCAGCGATTCTTTAGTCCTGGACAACACTGCTGGACCCTTAGAAACAGCAATGCCCACCTCAGCATCCGTCCACGTGAATGTTTTCTTCAAGAGCTCCACTTTGGCAGTGATTTTGTCTTCGCTGAGGTATGCAACAGCTTGTAATGCATGTTTGAACATCAGAGATCCGCGGGGTACACCAAGAAGACCTTCGACACATGCCACTGCTGTCCGGATGCGTTCCGGGCTGATGCTGAGCAGCGATGGCGTATGTATGCAGAGCCTGGCAATATCACAAGCACCTAGCCCGCACTCGCGCAGGAAGGCGACATTGGGCTTGACCACCCGCTCGAGGTTGGACCCGAGAATGGAGCCACCCGCTCGAGGTAGGGCTCAAAGGAGGTTCTCGGAGGACCCGAAGAGGGGCAAGAAGTACTCCAGCGTGGAGACGATGGATCTGCAGCGGAAAGTGACACTGGGGAGCGAGACGAGGCGCGCGATCTGAGAAGGCGAGAGACCGAGGCCGGTGAGCTCCGCGACATTGGGTGCCAGGGTTTTCTCCACTTTGGCACAGAGGAACAGCGGGTCCCTGGCGACGAGGGCGGCGACATCGGCGCCGGAGAGGCCGAGGCCGTCGAGGAAGGCGAGGACGGCGTCGGGCTTGGAAGGGGACTTGAGGTGGGAGAGCTTAGCGGAGGCCTTGAGGGCCTGCGGTCGGGTGAGGCCGCAAGTGGAGACGAGATACTCCTCCACGGCGAAGCTAGGGTTCGGGGAGACGGCGGGCGCGGGCGCGGTGGCGGAGATGAGGCACCTGAGCTGGGAGATGGTGGAGGCGGAGCGAAACGACAGGAGCTGGGTGAGGCCGCAGCACCGGAGCCAGAGCATGGCGGCGCCGCCGCGGAGGAGGAGATTGACGGGGCGGAGGCGGCGGCGGCGGCGGCGAGGGAATGGGGAAGTGATTTGCG